TGGCTACTTCTAATCAAAAGGAAAGTACGAGGCTAGGGTTCATCACAAGGTACATAAGAGAGAGAGAGACAGAAACAGAGACAGAGACGAAGACGGAGAATGAGAGAGAGAGGGAGAAGGAGATGGAGTGCATTCAATACTGTTGGAGGTAAAGTGTTTCTTACAATCGCCGTCTTCAGAGGCCTCTCTTTCATCACCCCAAACCAACATAACCTCAAAAAGCCCTCCGCCTGCGACGTCGACATCGTCGCCAGCAAGAAGCTTTTAGTCTTCGAAGTCGTCTCCTTTAGCTTCTTCCTCTTCTCCTCCTTAGTCGCTGAGGGCCTCAAGCTCGCCATCAATCTCTTGAACATCAAGGATGTTGATGAGGCATTTCGGGTCAATCAGTGGTCTTATGTTGTTTTCTGGAAAATCGGTTGCCAAAACCCTAAGTATGTTTTCACTCAATATTTTTGTTTCCTCATCTACTGTGTAAATATGAATCTATTTTATTGCTAAGAAAATGGAGGGAAAAAAATATATTTTGATCTCTAACCTTTTAGTTTATGTTTTATTACCTCTGTTTGGTTGCTAAGAATATGAAAAAGAAAGAAAAGAGGGGAGTCAATGAAATTATCTGTCTTGCTTTTGCTATTATTTTTGTCCATTTGCTTGTATTCTAATCTTTTCATTTTAGGTTTTGGGCATACTTACTGTTTGATTACCGGGAAAGTGGAGCGAAAAGGGAAAAGAAAAAAAAAAAGTAATTATAGTTTACCAAAACACTTAACTGTCCAGAACTAGGCATATCTTGGTTGTATTAGGTTCATCTAACCTAATATTTTCTCTTTAACCAAACAGGGGCTATAGATCACAATTATAGATTTTGTTAATCAAGTTGATCTCAAACCCTAACTGATCTCTACACGCTCCGGTATTGCTGTCTGTTTTTGTTTTGTAATTTGAATTCCTTTGTTTCCTGTTTTTGGAGTGTTATGTCTGTTTGGTTTTGCTTTGTCTTGCAGAATCCTAGTGAAAAAAAGTAGATTTGTCTTAAGTTTGTCCAAACTCTTTTTGACCTATGCATATATATACATATATATATATCTATCTATCTAGTGACTCTGAATTGGTCTTTCCTCTTGTATTTTATGTCCTGATTTTCTTGTTTCTTTCTGTAAATGTTTGTCAAGTTCTAGTATTAGGTAATTATTTGGTTTTTATTTTCTTAACAAACACTAAAATATTGTGCCATGTGGACACTTTTTGTAAATTAAAGGTTTAGATGCTCGGGCGGAGAGTGTTTTTATGGTTACTTGAATGCATCACTGTTGTCAGATTGAATGGTAATGAAAAGGGCTTATTAAGTTGTATGTTTGTTTATTTTTTTGGTAGGTATGTGGGTATGAAGATTATCAAAGGGAGAATGAAACAAGAATGACTTATGGAACATGACCTCTCCGGCCTCGCCGCAGACCAGGGTGTCAAGTTCACTGAACCACAAGTGTGATTCTCTCTAACCCATCATTTCTCAATAATTTTACTCTGTTCTAGATGATAGGGTTGAATTATAGTTGAATTTTAGGTTGGAAGTGCTTTTACTTTGCTTTTCAATATAAAAATTGAAATAATTTTTGCTTTCAAAAGCAATGTAAGTACTTTTTATTTATTTATATTTTTGGGGATACTTGTTCGGAACATGTAACACGGACACGGAACATGACACGGACATTCAGACACGAAATTTTTTTAAAAATAGGGGGCACGACACGCTGGGGACATGTTTAATATATATAATTTTATTTATTTATTATATGTCTAAAATAAAAATAAAATCATTAATTCTTATACAATCACAATAATAAAAATAAAAATTAACATAATTTTAAATTTTTTAAATAAAAAATGAGTTTTTTTAAAATAAAAATAATTTATTTTATGAATTTTAAGTTTAACAAAAAAAATAAGTATAAAAAAAAGAAAAAAAAAGAGGGAGAGAAACGTTGAAAAAAAAATTAAAAGAGAATAGAAGAGAGAGAGAGAGAGTGAAGTCAAAAAGGTAGAGACAGACAGAGTCAGAAAAGGGAGAGACGAAAGGGAGGAGGAGAGGAAGAAAATGAAGAGAAGAAGACCAAAGAAGATGGAGACAGAGAAGACGAAGAGAAGATGGAGAAGAAGAGAAGAAGCAGAATACCTCAGCTTCTTAGATTGATCTGAAACAGGTTAGGCCTCTGTCCCTCTCTCTCTTTCTCTGTCGATCTCTCTCTCTCTCTCGTTCCCTGTCTCCGTCGATCTCCTTCTGTCTTTCTCTGTCTCCTCTCCAACAGTTAGGGCTTTTCGATCCACCTCAGGCGTGTCCGAAAAGTGTCCCGCTGTGTCCATGGCGTGTCGGACTGGAAGATTTCAAAAAAAAAAGACACGTTAGAGAGAGTGTCGGACAGGTGTCTACCATGTGTCCCACGCATGTCCAACACTCGTACGCAGGGCTTGGGGATGTGTCAGTACTTTATAGTTCAAAACTTACAAATAATTTTTTTGATGTTTGAAATAATATTTTGGTGGTTGATTAATACTTATATATATATATATATATACATATATTTGTGAAACTTGTTTGTAATGTTTTTTTAGATTATACAAAATAGGTAAAATAGAACCTGTTGAATTAAAATTAAAAAAAATTAAAAACTTAAAAAATAAAAAATAAACATATTTGCTAGATTGTACAAAATTGGTCAAATAGAACCTGTTGAATTTAAAAATAAAGATAAAAACTGCATATTTTACGGCAGGCATAATAAGTCGTCGTATTACATATTTTACGGTGAGCAATCAGCGTTATTATTTGTCTCACCAATTAACGGCATGCAAAAGTAGTTGTAGAAAAAATAACGACGCACAAAATTTGCCGTTAAATAGTTTTTAACGACGTACTATAGCATGTCATAGAAAAAGTAATAACGATGCACAAAATCTGGCCACAATTGTCAAACGACTGTTCACTCCAAGCCCTAGATCCCCAAATTTCCAATTCTCCATAGCGTCTGAAGGGGCAAAATAGAGCTGCAGCGGTAGAGAGACCCTGCGCTAGCCCAACTTACCCTGAATAGCATATTCATGAGGAAAATCGAAGGTGAACTTTGTGGGTAAGAGCTCCATCGAAAGTGTTCTTCTACTTAACCGAACCAAACCGAACCTAGCAGTGGAGAATACCTCGGCATAGAAGTGGTTGCTTCAAATCTCTCTATTTATAAATATAAAGAGCAGCTCCAACTGGTATTTTTTTGATATTTATAAGTAGAGAGATTTGAAGCAAGTTCTTCTATGCCGAGGTCTTCTCCACTGCTAGGTTCGGTTCGGTTAAGTAGAAGAACCTATGTAGCACGGACACGGACACGGGACACGACACGGACACGCGAAAAATGCAATTTTTCAAAAAATAGGGGACACGGCACGCTGAGAACACGTTTAATATATATAATTTTATTTATTTATTTTATGTCTAAAATAAAAATAAAATCATTAATTCTTATACAATCACAATAATAATAAAATTAATAACATAATTTTTAAAAAAAATTAATAAAAAATGAGTTTTTTAAAATAAAAATAATTTATTTTATGAATTTTAAGTTTAACAAAAAAAAATAAGTATAAAACAAAAGAAAAAAGAAAAAAAAAAGAAAGGGAGAGAGAACGTAGAAAAAAAATATAAAAGAGAAAATAGAGGAGAGAGAGAGTGAAGTAAAAAAGCAGAGACAGACAGAGTCAGAAAAGGGAGAGACGAAAGGGAGGAGGAGAGGAAGAGATTGAAGAGGAGAAGAAGACCAGAGAAGATGGAGAGAAGAAGGAGAAGAAGAGAAGAAGTAGAATACCTCAGCTTCTTGGATTGATCTGAAACAGGTTAGGCTTCTCTCCCTTGATCTCTTTCTCTCTCCTCTCCTCTCCTCCCTTGATCTCTTTCTCTTTCTCTGTTTCTGTCGATCTCTTTCTCTATCTCCGTCGATCTCTTTCTCTCTTTTCCTGTCTCCGTCGATCTCCTTCTCTCTTTCTCTGTCTCCTCTCCAACAGTTAGGGCTTTTCGATCCACCTCAGGCGTGTCCGAAAAGTGTCCCGCCGTGTCCATGGCGTGTCAGACTGGAAGATTTCAAAAAAAAAAGACACGTTAGAGACAGTGTCGGACAGGTGTCTACCGCATGTCCAACACTCGTACGCAGGGCCTGGGGATGTGTCAGTGCTTTATAGTTCAAAACTTACAAATAATTTTTTTGATGTTTGAAATAATATTTTGGTGGTTGATTAATACTTATATATATATATATATATATTTGTGAAACTTGTTTGTAATGTTTTTTTAGATTATACAAAACAGGTAAAATAGAACCTGTTGAATTAAAATTTAAAAAAAAAAAAAAAGAAAAAAAAAACATATTTGCTAGATTGTACAAAATTGGTCAAATAGAGCCTGTTGAATTTAAAAATAAAAATAAAAATAAAGATAAAAACTGCATTTTTTACGGCAGGCATAATAAGTCGTCGTATTACATATTTTACGATGAGCAATCAGTGTTATTATTTGTCTCACCCATTAACGGCATGCAAAAGTAGTTGTAGAAAAAATAACGACGCACAAAATCTGCCGTTAAATAGTTTTTAACAACGTACTATAGCATGTCATAGAAAAAGTAATAACGATGCACAAAATCTACCGTTAAATAGTTTTTAACGACGTACTATAGCATGTCATAAAAAAAGTAATAACAATGCACAAAATCTGCAGTTAAATAGTTTTTAACGACATACGAAACATATCGTTGAAAGTATATGCTTTTCATAACTGGTCATAATATGACGCGCGCTGCACGTTGTAGAAGGATTTTTACGGCGTGCATTACGCGCTGTTAAAATCCTTTTTTTGTTGTAGTGACGTTTGGAAAAAAAATTAAAACCAAACAAATAAAAGATTTACTTGAGATGGCTATTTAATTTAACTAGAATAAGAGTGAAAATAGGAGAGAGTAGTTGCTCTGGTTTCCAATTTTTCAAAATTAAAAAATTCAATGGTCAAGATGTATTTGTATAATCCAACAGCAGATAATGAAATTACATACATATTGGTTCCTTTCTGTTTTTTTTGAGCCGACCAAGGAAAATAGCTTTGACAATTGTTACAGCTAGCAATGCTGATAAATGAAAAAATGGGAATGAGAATATAAAATACAAGTCTAACAAAACACAATAGAAAAATGAAAACAAATTACGTCCATAGCCAATTGCTCTTTCTCTAATAGGATGGTCCACATCAGGCCACTGAGGGAGAACTTGCACAACTGAAAAACCTGCCAAGCAAGTAAAACACAATATGGTGCAAAACTTGGTGAAACGAGCTATGCGAAAAGACATCAAAAGCATGCAAATCGACTATATAGTGACTAGCAGTGAAGATATGCTTGTCAACTACAATCAAATCATTCATATATGTGCTTCTTATTGAATTGCTACAGTGACCAAATTTGTTGATTAATTCTAGATTAATTTGCCAGAGTTGAGGAGGTGCATTTTTTTATTCACCCAAATGACAGGTGATGGATGAAGCAACTCCCTTCCCTGATTTGTCATTTCAAAAGAATTGATCTCAGTGAAAAATCAATTAAAGAAAGAGTTAATAATATTATGTTCACCAACTTATCAGGTGGATGAACAAAACTGGAGTCTGAAGTTCAATTACTTACTACGAGGACTACTAGTTAAGCATGAAGTAAAAATTGCAAACTTGACAGTATATGAAAGACAATAACCTGTGGATTCCACTCTTTAATGCTGAAACCAAGCCCCGTTTTTGTCTTCCTTGAGGAATCTGCTCTGGTTCCACAGTAACATATATCTTCTGATACTCTTTCTTACAATATCCACATTTTGCTGAATCTGGTACCCAATATCTACATTTTAGATCTAAGAGGGGACAGCTGCATTCACATATATTGATTGCATCTCCTCTGACCGGTTCAAAACATACTCTACAAACTGCTTTCGCTTCAAGTATCTTTTTAACACCAAAATTGCCATTCTCTAATTTGCAAGAAACCAAAATTAAATAGAAAGAAATTGAAAGGATGATTATTACAAGAATACTCAATATAAGCAATTAAGTTATTTTATTATGGTTCCTTTATTATAACTCAAAAATGAGCAGCGGACTAAACAAGTCAGTTTTGGACTATTATTCATGTGGTTATAAATAGGGCACTCAGGTGCCAAGAGCAACTCCCCCAGTGTAAGACAAAATGCCTACTTTTGTCCAACTATTGTCCAACTAGTTTAGCTAATTTGTGTTAGTTCCGCCTCTATTTGATTAACTACAGAAGCCTTTTAAGAAAATAATTGCATTTCCCGAATAATGAACTGGGTCAATTATCAATCGTGCAGTGCAGTGTTATTAATTCAGCGCCTAGACGTGCTCCTAGGCCCAAAGCTCATCAAGGCATAGTTAGTGTGCTTCCAAAGCATCTTAGGTTAGGCGATATAAAATATATGCCATAAAGGCGCATGAAGAGTGTACTTTAGGTCTAGGCTCAAGGTGCACGACTCGTGCTTCTTTTAAAATGTTTATTACAATTACAACACTAGATTACACTTAGGGTATGTTTGGTTTGTGTTTGAGAGATGTGTTTTAGAGATAAAAAGTACGAAAAGTTGTTTGGTTTGGTTTGGTTTTTTTCAAAAGATGTTTTGGAAAATTATTTTGAGAGAGAGTTTTGGAAAAAGTGATTGATTTGATGTGTGTGTGAGAGAGATTTGTTTGGAAAACTTGTTTGGTTTACAAGTTTTGAGAAATTTTTTTGGAAAAATTTGTTTGGTTTGATTACTTTTAAAAACTTATTTGTAGAGAAAATTTCTCAAATTTTTTTTAGAAATACAAACCAAACGAACCCTTAATCTTTTTTTTTATTTTTAACATGCGATTATAGGAGATTAATCCCCTAAACATACATTGCAATCCAATACTTTTGAGACCTAATTATACAAAAATGTTGGTTGAATAGAGCTTTCTCTTCAACTGAATCAGTGTATTTGGTTTGAGTTTTTTTGAAAACTCAGTTTTTTGGTTTTCTTGTTTTTTTGTTTTTAGTAAATTTTTTTAAAATTTTAAACATTTTTTTTACTTTTTTAGATGCACCTTACTTAGATGTATCTAAAAAGTAAAAAATTTGTGAAAAAATATTTTAAAAATTTAATAAATACATAAAAATATAAAAAATGTACTGAATTCTCGTATTTTTTTTTGTATTTTTGGTATTTAGTGAATTTTTAAAAGGTTTTTTTCACAAATTTTTTACTTTTTAGGTATATTTATGTTAGGTATGTCTAAAAAGTAAAAAAAAAAATTGCTTAAAATATTAAAAAAAATTCAGTAAAAACAAAAAAACACGAAAAACAAGAAAGTAGAATTTTCTGAAAAGTGTTTTTGAAAAAACACAACCAAGCAAAGTAAGGTTATTCTTTTTATTTAACTCCTTAATCTCCTTCTTCTCCATCACCTTTCTAGTTTCATATGTTTATGATTTATGAGTAAGATGTTTGTGTTTTTGTGCACTTTGAATTATTTATCTATAATAAAATATTATTATTGTTGGTATTTATGTATGAAAATATCTAATATTTCATTTTTACTTATGTTAAACCATGAATTATTTGCTTATATTAAATTATCTATTTTTTATCGTCGACATGAGCCTCACTTCGATGAAGCCTACGGCCCCGGCTTGTGCTTTGTGCTTTGAGCCTAGGCCTCGAGGAAAACTTGGTGCTTCAGTTCACCTATCACCTTTAATAACACTGGTGTAATAAATACATGTCATATAATCACTATAACCCACACTGATGATATGAAGTAATCGCAATATTATAATTTCTAAATACATGTCATGTAATCACTATAACCCACACTGATGATATGAAGTAATCGCAATATTATAATTTCTAATAAATCTGAACTAATTAACTATTTTTGAAAAAGTTAATGATCATGATTTATGTGTCAAAATTTTTAGTATGGAATCCAATTGAGTAAAAAGCTTTCAAAACAAGTTGCATATTTTTTATAACCATGATTTCATCATAGTCGCTTTAATGGAACAAATGGAAGAATGTTAATTCCACGGTTAGTTGAGGCCCACTAGCCTTTATTATTTTAGGAAATTGTTTTAACCCCTTTGACGATGACTCTCACACCCCTAAAGTAATCCTGACCCTCCCTGTATATGTGGAACCCACTCATGTATGTGTGGGGTTCACATCATAAGTAGTTCAGATTTGTGGGGGTTTGTGGGGGTCTTGTAGGGTGGAGGTTTCAATCATTGCTCATTATTTTAACATGTTTTCTATTATTTTGGATTCCACAATTACATAAACTAATTTTTATAAGATAAAATTCAAAATTACAATTTTAAATATGGAATAACTAGTATTACCCCCATGCTATATATGGTATCACACAAGTAATTAAAAAATAATGTTAATATTAAATAATAATTAAAAATTAAAAATATTTTAAAATGAAGAGAAGAAAGAGATTTATAATCAAATAAATTTTAATTATTTTCGTGACAATTACAATTAAGGTCTTTTTTTTCTTTCTTTCTTTTGTGGTCTTGTCATCAATGGTGTGTTTTATGTATTAAATATAAAAATATGTGTTATAATATAATTAGAAAAAAATAAAGACAAAAAATATAATAAATCATAAAAATTGTACTTACGGTAAAACATAAATAAATTATGCCATTGAAATTTTGTAATTATACTTCATCTCATATTAAAGTTCATCCGATCATATAACAAATCACATGTGCCAATTAATTTTTAGGAAAATTTATCCATAAATTCTATATGGGAGAATGTTGATCCATTTAGTCTTAAGAGTTTCCTTATGAACTAATTAGTCTTTTTTGTTTTGAAAAGTTATATTTATTTGATTTGATGCTATTTGAGTTTAAGTAAATACTCTTTTGTGATTTATTTTTCCAATCTTTTTGATTTGTTTTTGGGATGGAAATGGAAAAGGTGAGGTGTGAAATATTCTTTTTTAGGGATTTGGGACTAAAGTATTGATTGTCGAACGTGAAAATCTATATTTTTGTTAGTATGGTTTTCTTGTGTTACATTGAAGTGTTACATTAGAATATTACATTTGAAAAAAGTACACTAGAGAATTTTCGTGTCTTACATTTATTGGAGTATTACATTTGGGAAAAATACAATAAGGAATTTTTTTAGAATGTTACACTGTTGCGTTTTAGAAAAGTATATTAAGGAGTTTTTTAGTGTATTACTAAGGAGTTTTTTAGTGTATTACATTGGAGTATTACGTTTGGAAAAAAATATATTAAGAAGTTTTTGTGTGTTACATTGATTGGAGTGTTACATATGAAAAAAGTACACTAAGAAATTTTTTAGTGTGTTACATTAGAGTGTTACGTTTAAAAAACGTACACTACGAAATTTTTGTGTATTATATCGATTGGAGTGTTACGTTTGGGAAAAGCACACTATGGGATTTTTTTTGATAATTTACATTGTCACGTTTGAGAAAAGTACAGTAATTAGTTTTTTAGTGTGTTACATTGGAGTGTTACTTTTTTTAGTATTACGTTTTTTGAGTGTTATATTGAAGTGTTACGTTTAGAAAAAATACACTAAGGAGCTTTTTTGAAGTTTACATTTAATAATTTAACATTATGAGAAAATTCACATTTGTCCCTCAACACATAACACACGCGCATATATACTTGGCTCTTTATGTAATTCACACTAGAATGAGACATTTGGGTCCATAAGAAAAAAGATAGGACTAAACAGTTCATACGTTTACTATTGCGGATTTATTGGTGTTCACCCTAATTTTTAACTTTTACCTTTCTTGTAAAACTCGATAAAAAGGATTAATAAAATAGAAAAGAGAACAAAGGGAATAGTCTCTTTCTCTGTCACTCCTCAAATTAATCTTCCCCTTATTAAGCATAATTGTAAGTTCTCCCCTCAAATAGTTTACAATAAAATTAACTATTGAAAATAAAAATTAAAGTTCAAATTTGGAATAGGTCAGTCTAGCATTTAATCTAATCCAAAGCCATTCTTTTGGTCTGACTTCACCATTAAGACCAATGTTTTCATAATTTTAAAATATATATATATATATATATTAAAATTTTTCATATTAAAAAAAATAAATTAAACTATTTACCAATGTCAACTTATCTCTCGAAACAACTTTTCTTGGTCTAAACCTAACAAACCAATTATCATTGTTTGAATTATATGCCACTAATAAAATTAATTTATTAAACAAATAAACAAAATATATTTGTATATAAAATAATTTTGAGTTAGCCCCCAAACTTAATTTTTTTGGCTCATTTTCTAATTGAACCATTTTAGTGCTTAAAACCTAACCTATTTCTTTAGATAATATGACTTGTTTTTCAGTGCCGACATAGTTACGATTGTTTAATTTTGCTTAAAACTTCGTGCACTCATTCTTCCTTTATTAATGTTTGTCTCAATACTCTTTGTATAATGATTTTCATCAATAAAGTTTTTTTTTTGTTTTTTAATGATAAAAAAAGTGATCTAACTTACTGATAAGAACTCAAGCCTGATTTTTTTTGGGACCAAACTATTTAGACCGGATAGGTTATTCAACCACAGTTACCATTAGAGGATGAAGTCTATTATGATTTATCTTAAGAATAGTTGGTAATCTACCTAAAATTTATATATATATATATATATATATTTGTGTTTGTTAAATTATGTATAACTCGCACTTCAAATAATATTTTTTTTATACAGATTTTTAAAAAGAGTAATATTATGTGACCATATTTTGATATCAGATTTTAGTACCGTATATTGTTAACACATTACATGACACTAATCACATTATTTGATAAGCGTCACATGACACATACAGGTATTGTCTTTAAAGTGTCACATCAGATACTATCAAATATGGTCATCATAGCATTACTAAATTTCATATTTTATTCTTTTAATATTCCAAAATTTTA